CAACCTCAACCTCAACTTGCATCATTTTAGAGTTTTAACAACTTTTGTAGCTTCTTGTGTTTCTTGATAAGTTTGTTAGCTCAACCCATTTGATAGGAGAAAATAGGAGGAAGAAGTATCATATTTGTTCGCGATCTTGATTTACTATTATAAAATAATAAAGACAGAATTTTTAAAAAATCAAAGAAATAAATAAAAATTATGTCACAGTTTTATTAGACAGCATATCAGGAATTTTTGCAGAAGTGGAAATAAAGATGTGGAAGAATTTCAGCCTACCAACTTCAACCTACAGCCATGATGGCAAACCTATGGCATGCGTGCCACAGGTGGCATGCCGAGCCATTTGTTAGGGCACGCAAGGCGTTGCCCTGTCAGCGCACTGGCAAGCTGACTTGGGCCTTCTTTTAAGGCTGTTTTTTGCCCTCTGGAGGCTTCCTTGAAGCCTTGGGAGCACGAAAAACCGGCCCTACGGGCAAACCAGAAATTCAGGAATGGACTTCCCGTTTTCTTGTAGAGCCGTTTTTCACCCTCCAGAGGGCAAAAAATGGTCCTACAAGTAAAGCGGAAGTGATTTCTGGTTTGGCTGTAGGGCTGTTTTCCCTCCGGAGGCTTCAGGAGGCTTCCCTAAAGGGTCCTAAGGGAAAAAAATGGCCTACAGCCAAACTGGAAGTGACAGTTCGCCGTTTTTCGCCCTCTGGAGGCTTCAGGGAATCTCCTCACGCCTACGGAGGGCCTCCGGAGAGGATGGGAGAGGCTGGTTTTGCCCTCCCCAGGCTCCTAGAAAGCCTCTGGTGCCTGGGGAGGGCAAAAAAGCACACTAAAAGGGGGAGGGTCGCACTGGTTGCGCACGCATGCGTGCTAGGGTCGCACGCATAGCATGAGTGTGGGTACACCCGTGCATGACCCCCCCCCGTGCTCCCCCCGCTTTTGGTACACGATCCAAAAAAGGGTAGCCAACACTGATTTACAGTATAACTTACTCTCTACGTTTTCTATTTTTTGCATTTTTTACTATTATTACAAATATTTTTGCAATTTTTGCATTCAGAATTATACATTTTTTCTTGGCATTTAGTATGCTAATTCAAATATAATTTGTATATTGACTAAATAATACCATTTGTATTTGTTTGATAATACAAACATGGAATTCAAATTTAATTTAACAATCATCAGGAGCAACAATATAAAGATCCAATTATTTAATTTTATTATGTTATTTATGAATGTGAACTCACTTAAGTTTTATGTGTGAAGAAAAATCTACTCCTGCCAAGGTTTAGTTGGTATGTCGATTGAATTAAGAACACCTCCTGTTAGCATTCATCCATATGGGTAGTGGTATCACCATCATTAGAATTCAAGATGAAGTTGAATAGAAATTTTGTTTCCAAAACATTTTTTAAATTTGTCTGCATCATGACCTAAAATGTTTCTAGTAAAGGAAACTAAGCCTACAATACATACAGATATACTGTAGTTTTAAAAGCATGGATTAAAATAGTCATATTTCTGGTTTGTTATCAGTACGTTATGTTACCTATCAATGTATTTCAGTAATCTCAACCCACGAAAACATTCAAATGAAAATGGAGTATCTGCGCAGGATGAAAACTTTGAAGAGCTCATCAGTTTACCCATGGGAATAAAACCTCCCAGGTTGGATACCATGAGTCCTGAAGAGAAAGATAACTCTGATATTCCTTTGACTCCCATTTTGGCCTTTGAAGAGAATGGGGCACGAGGGTCATTGCCTCAAGTAGACAATGTTCCAACGCCACAGACAGCAGGTAGGTTTGCTTTAATCCTTCTAATTTGCATGCCCTGGAAGGAATCTGGCAAATGCCCCATTTGAGTATATTAAGAGCAAAGAATAAAGGGTTATAAAATCTGCTATAAAGATATTAATTCTGGTTCTTAGAGCAACCTGCATCTGGAATAGGACAGAGAGAGATGGAAACTTGATTATCAATTGCATTAAGCTCAGAGGAGAGGGCACAGATCTAAATTTCAAACTATTTATTTAAAAAATGGTTTCAATTATAAAATTTGTTTCTGATAGATAAGCAAGTTTATTAAGGGATAAATAGACTGTTAATAAATAGGAAAAAGCAAGGCTTCTGTAACAGATATATAAAAATAGTGATTTCAATATGTGCAAGGTTTCTTTCGTTATAAGGTATTTCAGTGAAGTTTTTCTATTCTGGTTACTCCATGTAACGGGAACCTTGTTCAGTTTATGTGGGATTATCATAGAATGGAACTATTCCTGCACTTAGTAATTGGTGCATGGATCCTGAATTATTGTCCCATGAAAGGAACCTACTCTGATCCAATGGGGGCATCACCAGCAGGATAGAATGAGTGATGAGGGTTTTTATTTTTTGCCAATTTCCCCTTCTCCCTGCAGGCCTAGCACCATCTCCCACACTGTTTTAGATGCTGCTTCAATTCTTTCAGCAGGTGTTCAGAACATATAGGAGAGGTTCAGAGGGAACAGGAATTGGCAGATATTATTTCTCCTGTTCCACTCATGAGAACTTTTTGCATGCAATTCCAGTCATTGGAACTAATAAGATCCAAGTCATCTCCTATTAACATCCATGACAAGACTGTTTGTACTTTTGGACAGGAACCGTTGCTAATGTTTTCTTCATTGCTTTCCTTTGTAGAAGTTGTCTGAGATCTCATCATGAATTATTATCAAAGGCGAAGAAAAAGCCTTCTGAAGCCAAGGGGATTCCTTCCATGCTATGAAGGAGTGTTATATTTTTTGTCACTCTTGAATTTTCTAAAGATTTCTTGGATGCTTTCTTTTCTTTTTTTTAAAGAAAACAAGTAGTAAACCCAGCAGAAGAATATATTGGAAATAGATTTGGATTGCCTTTCTATCACTAGAACTCACTACTAGGGGAGAATTGTGTCTTTCAAAAACTGCTTCATATAGCATAATTGATATTTTCAGCAATTCTTGAAGAAAAGGGTAACTAGGTTAACAATAACAGGATGATTGGGATATTTTGTCTTGTTTTGAAGAGGGGTAGTTTAAAAAGGTTGTAAAAACACTGTAAAATCAGCAAAGAATCTTACATTTTACTGATTCAATACTTGAAAAGTAAACACCTCACTGCTCTACAGGGAGGGGCTTTAGGGGTGTTTTTTGTTTTGTTTAAACCTGTTGGTTTAAATATTATTGCAGAGAACTATTAATTATGGGGGCAAAATATAGGCTTCTGTATCAGGTTCTTGTAAATGTAATTCCTAAATGGACATTCTGTATATTTAGCCATCACTACGCTCTTCACATTTTCTTTTACAAATAAAATAACATGACAGGTTTTAAAATGTGAAAAAAATTTGAAAGCATTATTTTTTCATAGGTGAAATGAAAAAAAGCCTATTGTATCTTAGATAATGTATTTATTAATTTTGTTGAGTACAAAATAAACAATAAAAACATGGCTATAATTAACAATGCAAGTTTGGCTTTTCTTAATTTATCCAGTTAGCAGAGAGTTCAACAAATACAACAAAGTTTTCTGGTTTAATGTCATTCTCTGAATTCAATGAGCTTTTTCCAGACTTGGGAAAATGAAAATGCAGCTAATGTACCCATAAAGTTCTCCATATCATATAGGCTGAACAGGAAATGTTACTGAAGTCCTGTCTAGATGTCTGGAAGCCATCAGAGTTGAATAGGGAGGAAGAGTTTTGGCTGAATCCCAACAAGAATTGTATTGGGTTCAGAAGCCCCTTGATACCTGCGATATTCCATCTTTGATTCTACGGCACTAAGACCTGGTCTCTTTGATATCATAGTATTGCAGAATGATGGTTACATTAAATAGATGATATTCAGTTATTTGAGAAGTTCAGGCATTGTCTAATGAGGGAGCTAAGAGTTGGTCTTCCTGCAGTCTAATAGGAGGTTCACCAATCCTTGAGGAACACAGCCCATTCCTAGAAGAAGTGATGCATATGGCTCTGATGACCATTTCCATCTGAGGAGGCGGTTCTTATTCTTCTGTGTCCTGTGACATTCTTCTCTTGTAAAATATTATTTACTTATAACACTGTTTCCTATAAACAAGTTTGTAACAATTTAAAAATCCAATTTAATAAGAGATAAAACACATGTGGGCATTTGCAGCTATAAGCTGGCAGGAAGAAAATAGGTTTTGTTTCTTGTGAAAATGCATTTTGCTGCCACTGTGTGCAGCTCAATCTTCAACATGCAAAGGCCCGAAAACAAAAGCACAAGAAGTCATTGGAGATCACGTGCATGCTTTCATTTTTTTTTACTATGTTTGCAGACAACTGTAGAATCACTCAAACCTTGGACTAGATTAGATGCAAACTTTGGACATGGCTTCCAGACATTTGATTGTAGTAGCACAAATAGAGCAGTAATCTTCTATGTAAGGGAAATATTCAGATTCCCTCCCCCATAGGATACAATAATTGATTTAATTCAGATATAAGAGCTGAATTAAAGTAAAAGCTCTTGAGGATATGCACTTCACATACAGTATGTATAGAAACAGGTTCTGAATAGGTTTCTTTGTGCAATTAGGTACAGTATGTCTTCTTTGGTGGATATCCCCATGTTATCCAGGAGATCTTTCTACTTATAGAGCATTTTAACACAAATGTATAACCATACATAGAAACCTTTGGCTCCAGCAACTGTCATTTACAGAACCACCTGTCTCCCATTATTTCTGCCTGTTCACATGTTCTAATGTGATGGGAATGTTCTTGCTCCCTTCCCTGAAGTCGTATCAATTAATGAGCCAAGGACATTATTACTCAGTCATGCCTATATACAAATATACAGCATCTTAAAGCAGTCACAACAACACAACCATTTTACATAAATACATTTTTCCAGAAATGCCCATTTTCCAGGGCGCTGCTCAGGAGAGTCCAAGCAAGGTTAAATACAGCCAAACTGCCCAGAACTGAATTGAAACTTTAAGCCACGCCTCTGGTGCTGAATATCTCCAGTTTTTTTCAATTCAGCTAGCCTAGTAGGACACGTTTAGAGTTTCTCTTCAATTGTATTACTTTGCTTGGACTTTCTTGAGCTTTTATTGTAAGTAGTTCTTAGTTTTGGGATATGAGCAGGCTGAGCGAGTGTGATTAATGTTTATTTAGTTCGTTTATGGCTCTGGGCTCACTCTTTGTTCCTCCGGTGTCCTGCTTATCACACAGGTGCTGCTCGGAACTCAGGCAGCTGCTGGGGAAGCGTGCGAGTTGGAGTTCTGACGCTAGCGCTGCTGCGATCCCCGCGGGGGGGGGAGTCCCCGCTGAGGCTCCTGTGGTTGGCGTCCGTGCCCTTGGTGGCCAGCGTGCAGGTGCGGTGCCTCAGAGCTCCGGCTTACTTGGTGGCAAGTTTTAAATTAGCTAGTCACTTCCACCCGCTATTTTGGAGCAATTTGCAGTTTCGGTTTCTAATTACACTGTGTGCCGCAGCTGCCTGCAGTCTGACTCATGGCAGGAGCCACGTGTTGCCTTCTTTGTCCGGCTAGCTGGCAATTTGGCTCGTGTCCTTCTCACCTGAGCGGCAAGGATTGGGGCCACTGGTCATGAACCTTTATTCCTGTAAGCGCTGGGAGCTGTTAATGCTCGCACTTAAATCTAAGTGGCTGGATATTGGTGCTGCAATCCCCCACGTCTCTTCTGAGCATCTGTTTGGTCTGCAGGGCTTTGCAAGGTGGTGAGTGGAGGTAGCCCCTGGTTATCAATTAGGCCACAGTTTGCCATATGGCTGAGCAGGTTCCTGAGGACTCCACCCAGGCAGGGGGTCCTTCCAGGGCTTTCTCCAGGCAGGCCAGTATGGCTGCCAGGGAGGCCATCAGGGTCTCCAAACCATACTCCAGGCCCGGGCCTAAGCAGGGATCAGGGCCAGACAAGAACGCATTGCGTCGCCAAAAAGCTCTTGAGAAGCAGTTCTCCAAGGCCCAGCACCAAGCACAATCCTCTCTTTCGGTATCTCCTGAGGAGCCCGCCATGGAGGTTCCTCCAGCCCAGCCAAGGTCTGTTCCAGACAGTGAGGATGAGGGCCGGGAGTTTTCACCCACGGCCTCCATGTCTAGGGCTGTGTCTCCAGGGCCTTCAATGGTAGATCAGGCTGATCTTTTCACTTGCCCTTCGGATCTGGAGGAAGGCCCTGTTCCAGGACCCTTGGCCCCTCAACATCCACCTCCCAGGCCCAAACCCAGGGCTCGCCCCATGGAGGATCTAGGGCCTTACCTTTCAGTTGAGATGCAGGAGGTTATTAACAGGGCCATTTCCCAGGGCATCGAAGCGGGCATGTTGCACAAGGGCAAACGCTCCTGCAAGACTAAACATCTAGAGCCCCAGCCAGTTCCCAGGGTCGCATCTCCCTCACGTACCTTGCATTCCCCCCATTCCTCTTCAGGTTCCGAGGATTCGGACTGGGAGGAGGGGGAGGACATTCTTCCTATTCAGGAGGCTGAATTCTCGGGGGAGGAAGGTGTTACGGCTCAAAAGCCCACATCTTCAGGGCTATTTAACATTACCAATTTCAAAACCATTTTGGACAAGGCCAAGCTGGCTACCCGGATGGGGTCCACTCCACCTGTTCAGGCCCCTGCTGATCTAGATGATTTATCTGGGGATTTGTTTGAGGAACCTGTCTCAGCCCAGGAGATCATTCCTATTCCCAAACCTTTTCTTAATTTGGTTCAGAAACAATGGGCCCAGCCAGCTACCATGGCTACCCCGAGTAGGCTGTACACTGTGGATGCCAGCCTGGAGGATTTTCTTAAGTTGCCACCTATTGATCCTCTGGTAGCGGCCCTTACCTCGACGTCAGTGCTTCCGCCTGATCTCTTGGAGGGTCTTAAAGCTGAGGATAAGAAATCTGAAATTGCCTGTCATAAGATGCACCAGGCGGCTGCATGGGCGATT